GGAACCAGCCTGAATATTGCAAGCCATCAGCTATATCACTACCACAGTTGCGTTTTGAATAAGATGTCATATCACTGTCACTTCTTTGAAACCGTTTTCAAAAATGGAGATTGTTAGTTATCTTTATAGTTATAGTTATTTTTTCTAGTGGAACATGGTGTGGAACGATCTAGCTAGATTCAACTGACAGGTTGAAATATTAGAAGTCAAGGACGAATTCATCGATTGGGAATTGGGATGTTTTTCTGGGAAATAAAATCCGAGGTGCGAAGGGGATATTGAGTGACGAAAAAATGAAGAAAGACCGAAAACACTGGAATTATGAGCATTTTTTCTTTTCGACAGGATGGACCGTGGTGCGACGGCGGTTCACAGCGCGCCGCCGAATAGAGAGAATACACGAGAAGCATGGCGCACGAGAGGGACGCAGATACCCAACCGTTGGGTCACGCGCAGTAGGATCGACGATTAGCTTGGGTAATGGAGACTACTAGGAAGGCCTCGTCGCCCTTAACGCGCATAGGAACGATTACCGCCCCTGAGCATGTAATTATCGTTCGCAGCATGCATATCTGTGAACTTTTTGGCCACTCGGAAGTAAAATTGATTTGACTTGCTTTCTTTGAGTTAATAAGCTTTTAAATTTCAAAGTTTTCTTTGGGCGACCCACATCGGTTCTGACATCATCGACGTGGAAGCTCTGCCTCTATGCCAAAACGCCTGGAGTGGGACGGCGAAGATCCGGCAGCCTGGGTAGAGAGTTGGGTAGAGGGACGACGCGTCCAAAGGGAATGGTAAGGCCATGCTAGGCTACCATGGGTAAGCCTTCGCATGCAAAAAATGAGACTCTTCGCTACTTTGGGGCTTCCACCGTTGGCGCATTTGTCCCTCTTCAACGTACAATTTATGGTACCACCTGCCTTTTCGTAGGTATGTATGTGGTGAGGGCAATTGATTGATCACTATTAACATGATAGAAAAAATTTTTCTACCTACCGCATCTCTAAACATCGAGTTGTCTTCTCTATTGTGCTTCTTTCGGAGTGATGACGATAATTTGATAATTCTGGCTGTAGGAGCAAATTTAGGCAAGTCGAATATCCTGGCCTTGCTCAGCATATGAGGTCTAAATTTGGAATTCATTTGGAGTGTAGAGGCTGGAATATGACCCTTGTAGGGCAAAACATGAACCTGTGACCCATCACTGTTCCGTCATTCGCTTGGCCATGCATCTCTTCAGTCATAAGCAGAACGGCGGCAATGAAGACGACAATCATCACGGATTCGGTCGGGGTACCTGTCTTGTTACGTCACGCCACTTCGACGAATCCAACGAGAAAGGCTTAATCCTTAAAGTTGAGTACGGCTAAATTTTATTAAAAAACGCTTAATTAGAAGCTATAATGGCAGGCATGTCGATATAATGGCCATAGACGGAATAGAACTTTTTTAAGCAATGCATACAATATGAGTAAAACTAATGAAACCAGCGGACAAAATGTCAAGGTATGTTGTAAGCGTCAAATAAAATTGAATAAAGGAAATGGCACTCTGCTGAGCCAGGTAATGGATATATGAAATGTATGTACTAAGAATTTTCGTTGCGCCGCCAACGGAGTGGAGATAGCCGCCGTGTGTAGAGGAGAAAGGATGTTGATAACGAAACCCGTCTCATCTGCAGTTCTCCATCGAAAAAACTTGAATCACCGTGCCGTCCATCACTTTGCAATTTCAAATGCTGACCATTTCATTAATAACCATTGAATATGTCGCTGAGTAGCACTTAATCAGCAGAGAAAAGTTAAATGCTTGACAGCATGGCCAAGGGTGAACCACTGGCGAGGATTCGTCGAATATTTGTTTGTAGAAGAAGGGGGTTGTATTTGGGACTTTCGGAGCATCGTAAGTGGGGATAGCAGTGGGGATGGAAGAGATACGTGAGAAAATGGAAAAGCAATCTGTGAGCAGTCACTGCAATACGCTTTCCCTTAGAATCGCAGAAGCAGTCAAATACTCATTTCTTCGTCATACATATAGATTGGTGTGAAAGCTTTGTCGCAATTCTAGGATCCGGTTCATCAGCTCTCACTTTAACAGCGTCTAAGCAGCAGCGTTAACAATAATAGGCAGGCTGATGCTGTTACCATGAGTAATGGATTGTTTTATCCCCTTTTTGCAGAACAGATTGTTTGTTGATAGATTGTTTGAACGATTTTGTCCCAGGTTACCAGCACCTGCGTTACATCACACTTTCCTTCTACCATTCCGGCTGTGATATGAACGCTCAAAATGAAGGAGGTGTATAACAATCACTCATCTAGTTACGAGACCATTACTTACTGGTACAAACGCTTGGAGGTGGGAGACTACACTTCTAAAGGTCTGAACGCTCATCCTAACTCAACTAGCTAGTGGAAACGGATCCATTCTCATCTACGATGGAAATGGCTAAAAGCTCGGAGCTGACAGTCAAACTACCGAAACTGGGCTGAAGAAATCGGGAAAAGAAGCAGTCTGGTCAGGTCCATCGCGATCGCCGCTTGGATGCTCGTTTGACCCTGCTCAAATTGGGCAGAGGAAATAGATGGCTGGAACATCTCATCACTGGTGATGAAAAGTGGATCTACTACAACAATTTCCACAGGAAAGCACAGTGGGTCGGTCCAGGAGAAACACCAAAAGAGGTTCCCAAAGATGTTCACCCCAAGAAGGTTATGCTATCAATTTGGTGGGATGTACATGGGCCAGTACTTTGGCAACTGCTGGATGAGGGAGCTACTGTCACTGCAAATCTCTACACGCAGCAGCTCCGAGATTTGAAGCGAATTCGTCGATCAGCAGGTAGAATAAGTTCGAAAAGTCTACTTCCAGCATGACAATGCCAGACCGCAAACCACAAGAGAGGTGAATTCGGAGCTGGTGCAGCATGGATGGACAGTACTCCTTCATCCAGAAACGTACACCACTGCGCATCCCCGCTTAGCACCGCAGCAACGCTCCTTCCGAGTCTTGAATGTTCGCCGACACCTTAATTAGACCAAAAAAGGCTTAAGACTCGCAGTGAAGTCGAATCGTGTCGACGTCGTACTTTGCCTCGCGCCAGCCTGTATTTTGGAGGGATGGCATCTATAAGGCGCCTGAACATTGGCAAGAACTAGTCAACCATGATGGAGGATATATTCAACCAGCTTGGCGGCGCACGCATTCGCGTGCACCACACGGGGCCGCATTGAGAGGAAACAGGGCCATTGATATTTTATAGTTCACCGTGGGAAACTCCGCAAATCCTTGGCGCCCACAAATAGCATTTGGCCCCATTCCTTCGCCAACCTTTATCCACTTTTCCCAGCCTCTGGGCTCTCTTTCAACCTCTGTAATATCACGTGACAAACATCGCCTACTTCAACGCACGCTCCACCCACCAATAGCGGTTGACCTTCCGTTGACAAACTCAATCCACTTTTCCCGGTCCTTCAGGTGCTTGGGAACGGCGGAATTCATGAATAGTATTAATTGCTTGCTTCTTCGAGCTTCCGAGATTGATACAGAGGTGTGCCTTCCAGCTCTCGGCTTTTGTAAAGGCTCCGAAGAAGGCGAGTGCGCCGAAACGTAAGCCGAAATAAAGTTCTGTATCAATCTCGGAAGCTCGAAGAGAAGCAACTAATACTATACTAATCATGCCGAGATTAATAGAGAGTCGTTCATGGAATATTCGAGTTATGAATTTTCGTCGCAAAATTCTGCCTACTTCGATGCACACCCGCCTCACCAATAGCAGGCTGGGCTCCCTTCCGTTGACAAACTCAATCCCTTTTCCCGGCCTCGAGGACTTCTTGGAATTGGTCATGAATTTTCGCCGCAAACTCCCCCACTTTGGTGCATGCCTTAGTCCACCAATGTGGCATTCAACCCTACTCCATACCTCAATACTTATGTATCCCATCATATTTTGCCCATTGGGTACGACGAGGCTTTCTAGGAACCGAGTTATGAGAGTGGTGGCAAACTCCGCCCACTTCGGGTGTGCCACGCCCAGCGTTCACATTCAACCTCTACTCCTCCTTCTCACCTCTCCTATATTTTTTTCAGGTCTCTAAGTCATCTCGGAGCCGCAATTATAAGGTCTTGTAGGAGACGCAATCGAGCCGGCCGCGATTTACCGGTGCACAGCGCAAGACCCCGCCCACTTTGGTGCATGCTTAGCCCAACAATGGCATTCAACCCTACTCCATACCTCAATACTTATGCACATTTTCCCCGGTCGCCGGAACTTCTAGGAACCGAGTTATGAGAGCGGTGGCAAACTCCGCCCACATCCGGGTGTGCCACGCCCAGCGTTCACATTCAACCTCTACTCCTCCTTCACTCTCTATATTTTTTTCAGGTCTCTAAGTCATCTCGGAGCCGAATTATGAGGTCTTGTAGGGGACGAAATCGAGCTACGTATCTTTGTGGCAAACCCCGCCCACAAGCTTTGGCGACAATTGCGCTCGTCGGATTTTCCTTCTGACCCGAATACCTCAATGACTAATGCATCCACAGCCTCCTTCTAACCTTTTTTCTGCCATCTCCTCAGAACTTATTGAACCCGAGTTATTGAATATTTCGTGGCATTCACTCTGCCCACTTTAAACCACATGCTCCGCCTGCGGCAACAGCAGTTGAGACCCGCTCTCGTCGGCAAGTCATTATAGGCCTTTTCCCGACTCCGGGACAACCGACGTGTATGGGCTGGTTGCAAACTCCGCCGCACTTTGTGTAAAGCCCTAATTTTAGCTTCTCCTCTTTCTGCTTAAACCACTGTATCCACTGGCTTTTCCGGTTTCTAAGTCATAATTTTTCCATAGTATGCAGCACCGGAAATTTATGGAGCGTGGTTGTAGGAACACTGTTCCCTTGGCCACTACTTCAGGACATCCGCTTGCACGAGGTCCATTTCCTTTGCGCGCGCAGGGGGGTTTCAACGGCTCTGGTGTGACAGCCTTGTTTCACGGTTATGCTGCTCGACTGGAATTATCCGTTACCAGCGCACGTTCGGGGGAATTCTTTTGTGAACATATTCACTAAAGGCTCCAGCCTTCTCCACCATGCACACACTATTCATTTGTACTTGCGCTGCTTTCCTGTAGCGGCGTCCTACCTAACGCGAGTTATGTAAGTGATTATTCATGATCGAGAGGAATACCAACCTCTTCGGCGGTTTTTCCACAGAACGGCCCCGTCACCACTAGCTGAGGTGGTCTGGTCGGCTTATCTCAAACCACCCAGACTTATGTTGGTACATCACCAACTCTTTTTTCTCATCTCGAGGGCTGTTCTTGACTGGATTTGGCATCGGCTGATGGGCACGCCACGCGACGAAATGTCTTGAGTTTTCGGAGCGGGGCGTGCGTCGAGCCCTTAACTTTTCTCATATTTCTTTGGGGGAATCGTCTTACAAAACTCTTACCGAACTTGCTTGCGTGAATTGTTTCATTTTTTTACTGTCTAGAAGTTATGTAAATACACCCTGGATACCCATCCCAAACTTGACCTGGACCGTAGGTGGTTGTTCGCTTAATACCGAATTTCGTGACAGACGGACAGACAGACATAGCGCATTATATATAGTAAGGATGTTGTGTGCTTCTGTACTTCTGTTCTGTTCTGTAGAGCTTGGATCAGAAAATCGGACAAAATTTCTCGCTTCACCACCATAGCACCGCAAAGGAGTTAACAAACTCCACACGATCCATAACACGGGGGAAGGACTCACAACACATGAGTAGTCGTGTAAGCGCGCTCGCTGTCAGCAGTTCTCTTCAATGTGTATAGCTCTTAGCTTTTATTCTGCGCACTGGCTCCATTAGCATCATCCTTTATGCACGGATTAATTTAAGGGATTTAAGATATACGTTTGCGTGATCAAAAACTGTAGTACGTTCAACATTTTAAGGCCGCACTGCACAGTAACCTTATATATCAAAGCTCTAGTGAGACATAAAAAGTCTAAGAGCAAATGGCCAACTAACCTCATATCATAAGCACGGTGTGGACATCGCCATCGTCATCTGTCAGAATTATCGAGGAAACGGAACTTCACAGAAAAATGGATTAGAGTGATCTTAATTCCACTAAAATCTGAGCGCCCGCTGGTGAAGGGGCTAACTCAAAAGGAGGCATTTACTGGAGTTAACCCCAGTAAAAGGATCGTGCTCACCTTCACTGGGGAACGCCTTTGGAAGCTCACTCAAAAATACTCCAGCAGCTTCAATGCGTTGATTTTTTGCCTAATCCGTTTCGGCGTCTTCGGGACTTTTGCAGAAGAAGAAATAACCATGACTTAACTTTCACCTTAAAGATATATCATACATTTTTCGTCTAAACAGAGCATCAATTCTCATAATGAAAAAAAGGCTTGTGTGACTGTAATGACTATCTATACACCTGATATTCATCGCTTAATGAGAGAAGCCGAGGAGAAGTATCTTGATCACTTCATCTAAGAAATATATTCACAAGAACAATCTTAACTGTTGTGTGATTTCGGTTTTTTCTGCTCGAGTGTGTGTGTGTCCGTGCTGTCTTATTCTGTTTCTTGGCTTCCGAGTTATCTCGGACGTACCAAAAACCGCAATAAATGAGCAGTACGAAAGCGAACACAACACAACTAACTCAATCCCTTTTGAACTCATGAATACGGACCTGGTCTGATGTTCATGACTGATCGCGCTCGAAACACATCGAACGAGCGGCACCTGGACTTATCAGTAATTCTATCCACTTGAGAGTAGCCACACGACCGATAAGTTCTCTTAATTCTCATAACTCTTGGCAATGCTAACTCGCATATACCGCCGTGGCAGCCGTATGTATTGCCGCCTTTTGCCTAGGTAGGCGAGGGAAGGGAGTTAGACGTGAGGGAGGTTCAAGCAAACGAGGAAGGATCGGATGGAGAACCTCTCGCTCTTGAATAATGGCATCTCTGGAAATTTGATCACGACTTTCAATTAAGATCCTTCTGTACACCATTTGTTGCTGTGCATTTGAGTTTTTCGCTTTGTCCACTTCAATGAGATGCTGACTTCGAGTCCTTATAATTGTTCCACCTATATAGTGATTTATTTTTACAATTTTATTTGTATTATTCTATTATTCTCTACGATCGGTAGGCACTTTATTCTCGTCCCAACTTTCTTTTCGAACTCCCAGCGGGGCAGGACCTTCTCTTCTCTTTCTTTGGGTTCCTTTTCCACTCCTAATTCGGGGAAACCCACGGGGACTTTCTGTCTTTCAGCCGGACCTTGACCACCCCTTTCCGTGCGACTCTGGGCACTTTTCTCTTGCCAGTTTGCTGTACCGGGGCAGTAGTTGGCCCATGATAGTGTAGGGATGATCGTGCTTATCGACGGGAGTATACCGTCCAAACTGCGCTAGAGACAAGTAGAAAGGAATCTTTATTTAAACAGAAAAATCAACAATAAATATGCAATTTACAAGGATCACGGGACGATGGGAGGCGGATTGTATCGATTGGTCGGGACCACTGAGCCGAGGGCAGCAATGAGGTGCACGGCGCAATCTCTCTTCCACGGGAGTCACGAAGACTTTTCCTCACTGACCTCTGAGGCCAGCTCAACCCAGCCACAAAAGCTTCTCTGCCCACTCATGCCAAACACCGATCCACGGGCTCCTTACTAGCCACTAGGCAATCACTCGAGCCAACTGAGGGCCCCTTAACAGCCACAAGCCTCACCTTTCAGCCACATAAAGCTACTCCTCGACCTAGTCCACTCCTGCGACCCTACGCTCTTACAGCATCTACTAAGGCACCCCACAGATGCCACAACGCGGAAACACTGAAGCTAGAGAAGAGAACACTGCAGGTGGGTCACCGAAACGTCAGGAACCACTGCAGCACTGGAACTGGAGAAGAACTGGAAGAGAGATACTGTGAAGGAACACGGACCCCTTTTATTGGGACCTTCCCGCGCGAATCGTTTCCCTCTGGCACAGGTGGCCTTTCATGACCACCCACGATCAACCACCGCCTCCTCGACCTACTGTGTCCAGCTCAGCTGATCTCTTAGCATGCATGTCTTTCCCTGACTATTCTTGAAACAATAACCAAGACACCAATAACTTTATTCGCTAATCTTCGCCTGTCGCCTCGTAAGAGCGCAAGAAAGCAAAATGAATTCTCTCACCCGAAACTTCGAAAATTCCTAGCCCAATGTAAGAATAATCGCGATCACAGAACACTCCACCCACCTTAACGAACGAACAATCTTTGTCGCCCCCGCTGTCTCAGCGTGATGACCTCGGCTCTCGATGCAGCCCGGGCGCAAACGAAGCCTACAGAGCATTCTCAAACTCAAACATGTTGTGTTTTCCATCTACTTCTGATCTTGATTCGAACATCAAATTTGAAATTAAATTAATTACATGATGTGAATAAATGTTCTCAATATTGTCATCAGACTCCTACGCCGGATTACTACGATTTCATGCCTAAACCTTGTGAGTTTTGTCCGTCAATTGTGCATCTGCCACGAAAGACTTGATGGTGTATGAGTCATACGAGAATCATTGACTTCTCATGATACGTTCTTCTTCGCTTAACCTGCAATTTAATTGTGAGTAACAGTCTCGTCGCTTCTTCACTTGCCCTAAGTTCAATCATTACCAGCGCTTACCCACATCAAGGTCTCACAGCTATTCAACTTTGTGCTCAACAAATGCTCTAATGGCGAATTTAATTTTCACTACTTACACGTTCGTACCTAACTGTACAGGTCTATCAAAAATCTTCGTTCCAAAAGAAATGGTTGTGAAGTCCTGGATCGGTAAAGAATATAAAAGCCACACTCGCAGTTAACAACCATCCCACGCAAAAAAGGAATGTTTTCTTCAAAGTGTTTAACAATACTGCTGGCTTTGTTCTTTCTGACGATCTCACTCGCTCGCTCTTTATTAAACAGCGATAAAGGAAATTGGATTACAACTTAAATGAGTCAGAGAATGCCTTGCATCTAATGGGAACTATTCAGAGCCCATTATGTTTCCACTTGACTTTTTACTTACTGGCGTTTACAGGTGATGGTGACTTTATGTTGGTGCTTTGGAGTTTTCAATGCTGCACTTTGTTTTTCTGGAGAAGTACGAAATGTGTGGAAACCAACAATCCCAGCGTTCATGTTCACTGATGAGTTTTGTTACTATGTTTTGTTGTTAAGATGGTAGCAAGGGAGCCATTTCTCACACTCAGGGTCAGAGATGAAGTCATGCTCGACTCTCGCCTAGACCAGCTAAGAGTTTGATTTTTTCAGTCTTGTTCAACCGGTAGCAAATTACCCATAGTAGGACTTCTATCGTACTCTTCATCTAGCAAGAGCTATTGAAGAGTCCTGTCACGATTTTTTCAAAAAAAATCATTCAAAAATGGACTGCTTTTCCGTGCCTTGCTGCCATGATAAGTACTAATGAATATACATAGAATTACAGGGGTATCATTTACTGCGGACTTGTTGTATAACATGGATTTCTATTTTGCTGAATTCGTTTTGTTTGCCAGTCTCACTTGCTATGTCGTTTTATTTATGATGGTTATAATTAAAGTATGCGGTAATTCTCATACTTCCTTCCGACTCTAAATTCCCTCTCATGTTATAATTTTCAAAACAGCATGAAACCATGAGGACGATGAAAATGGAAGGACCACTGATATTACATTTTGGTACGATATTTTGTATGACTGCAGTAATATTATTTTTGTGGCACAATCCTCTGAGCAACAGTGATCTCTACGGTCACGCCTTCAATCTTTTCGTGCTACTCCGTTTCTGCATTTCGCCGCTGCTAGCCCTTATCACAAATAGGTAAGTAGTGCTTGTGGGCTACTGATTACTTGGAAGCACTGACAACTACAAAGTAATGCGGTGTGAAATATTGTATATAAATGTAGTCGAAATACAAAACAGCTTGTACTTTCCCAATGAAATTTTGAACGCGCTACCGTATCGGACTTACTGAGCTGTGTAATCACAATATCGTCCAAAAAACGTGACAACCTTATCTTACCTGGGACCAAGATATTCTATTATTTGCAATGAACCTGAACACTATTAGGTTGAGCTTTTCATTACTTGCCTAATCGCTATCTCACAAGGGAAACACGCAACAGAATAAAAAATGTGTGGGGTGTTTAATCGGATAACACGCAGGTAACAAACAAAACTGTGTGGATCTTTCACTGGATAATTGATGTCCAGCTTGTTCCTTTCCTGCAGTTTAGTGGATTTTTTTGGATTGGTGCGGGAGTATATCAGTGGCAGGGTTACACGGTGTTCAGGTTCCGGGTTTAGCCTCGCACTGATTTGCTTGAGAAATTGTAGCTCGTTCAGATCTTCTATATAAATAACTGTCATATGAGGGGTGGTATTGGAAGCAATATCATTCAGACCCCTAAAGTATACACCACTTCTAACTATCTCTTGGGAACACGATTCTCCATTCCGCTGTACTTGATATCCATACATACCACAGTGCTATTATTCCTTTTGAAAGTGACCTGTAGTCAAAATAATACGTAAAAACTTTTCGAAAACTAAGGACTGACCTTGACTCGATCTTCTCAATGCTCCGTCCACTGCGTCCCGATGCTCACCCCCCCCCCCCCCCCCCCCCCCCCCCCCCCCCCCCCCCCCCCCCCCCCCCCCCCCCCCCCCCCCCCCCCCCCCCCCTACCCCCTCCCCCCCCGTTCGCGATAAGCAATGTGCTGCTGACGAACTGTCGCGTCGTGTTCTGCCGTTCCCGTTCTCTCTAAGGCTACTGTAGTCCCACGCATGACTGCGTTTATTGCAGCTCAGATTCTACTACATTTGGCCCTGTTTTACGATGCAATTTTTGGCTTGCTTTCTTTTTGCTAGCTTCATTTTGCGGACGGACACACAACCAAAATATACAGGGGGGGCCAATAAAAAAAAGACATTTTGTCTCCACTTCCAGATGGATTTAAGCACATTTTGCTCAATTCAGACCGAATGGTCCAACTTATTATTAAAGAGCGCATTCCATTCTATAAGAAAATCTTTATGGTGGCCACCTACGTGGACGGCATCAGAAGAATTTGCCCTGGAAACATGGTGCACTGGTCGAGCTCAATGGGGTCTTCGAAGGATCGTGTACCATAACGACCTTTACTAAAAAGCTAGTTTCGAGGGGATTTGCATAATGATAGCTAATGCCTCTAGAAAACTATCCAACATTAAATCGATTCACGAAATTGCGTAAGAGCTTCAGGCTGAAGCTCTTACGGTAGACCTCCTTGAGCCTGACGACGGTGACAGATGACGTCATATTCTGAAGACGGTGAGGGCAGTGAAGGAGGGCCTGCGTTCACTTATAGAGGACACTTAGGAATACTCTGCTGAGGAACTCCCGTCAACGACAGCAATCTCTGCGAAGAAAAAAGAGCCGAAGTCCGACATAGGCAAAATGTCTTTTTTTTTGGCCCCCCCTGTATGAAACGTGAATCTGCTGGTCAAGCCGACATAGTTGCCCTTAAATGCCGGCGCTGCAGCTGATTCACAGTCTACGTACAACCTGACCTGAGGATTTTGCACTAGACAACCTCCCTATAAAGTTCATTCTGAAATTACGCATGTAATTGAGGTTTCTCTGTGGGTGCCTTTGATGATTACAATTGGATATCTTGCCCTGATGAACTTCTTTTGAAAGCTACACAATTTTCACAATGTGCCTTTTTGGTGGCAATGATTTTCTTTACGAGCCGTGAGTGTTCAGAGTGGTTCGAAGAAGGTTTCTGCGGAAGAAGGATGTCGCAGTTTCAACGATAAGCGTATTTCCCTCACGAGCAAATCCTGTAACTGGTCGCCCAGAATGCGAACAGACGAAACATGGATTGGCAGCTCTCATCTACGAACGTTAGACAGCACGCTTCTGACAATTTTCCTAAAGTGCTTTGATTGTAATTTAAGTTGATTCTACAAGATGAAATTAAACATACTGAATATCCCTCAGTACAATTATCTGGTACGATATAAGCGCTGGTTAGCTAAACACAAGAGTTCAATATCGATCGTTCCAGCAGAATGGCCAGCTCGTATGATACCATACGAAAGTTCTGGCTCAAATATAGCCACACCGTCGCACAGCTGCAAAGTCAATGGATACACGTAGTTGTATCCGGAACGAGTCACAGCTCATGGAAGCTTAAGGTTGGGTGCGTAAGACGCCTGTGGTATTGTCACACTTTCAATGGACGGCCAACTGCTAACTTAAAAAAACCTAAACGTTAGAACCCAATGCTATCATTCAACAACTTTAAAGTCGAATGGAAGACCCAGCTTTTTGCTTCCCTTTATCATATCCTGCAAATGATTTGGAATGAGGTCCTTAGTACTTGGCGATGAGGGTTGATTTTGTCGAGAAGGGCTTCGCAGTCAATTAGGGGACCTATAAAACCTTAGTGCAAAGGGAGAAAAAACTAGGCTTGGGCTAGTGGCTCGATAAATCCTAGACCAAACTGGTGTGTCAGAGCCATATATTAAATTTGTTCCATTTGGCGTCATTGACAACACACACGGCCTTAGATTATCTTTCAGCAGATGTCCGATTCTAAAGATGATGAATGCGCAACAAAACATTCTTAATCCTCAACCTTTTTGTAAAACTGTCCCGACCAAATCCTCAAAATCCTTGCTAGAGACCAAAAAGCCGTACCCAAGTTATTACGAGTTGCAATTTGGGCCAGAGGCAAGCATATCCAACGCGTTCGCTAACACTCCGATGTTACGGTGTAAATCGGTGTTTGTAAGCTTCATGATATCGTTTTATTTCGAATCGTACTTTCTGAGCCATAATTCGCTTACTGCTATATTTATTGCGCATTGTATGTTTTTAGCATTCTATATGTACACACCAATTTTGCTCCGCCCGCTATCGCGCGCATCACAGGGTAGGAAGGAACCACGGAATAGCAGAATGATGTACGCCAGCAATCACATCACTATTTTGAATGTTGTTACACCTCCTTGTACCCTTCCTCTCCGGCGCCTAAGAGCACCATGTTCACCATCCCTTTCGCCTCTCCCCCTCCCTTCCCTCCATTCCCTCCCCCCCACCCTCCCGCCTCTCCCGCTCCCCCTTCTGCTTTCCCCCTCCCCTCATACCTCTGCACCGATCTTCTCGCTGCCCTGAGCAGCCCTCCCGTAGGATTGAGCTGAGTGTGCTCGTTCGTGCTTTTTGAGCCGTGAGGGTGTAAGTCACATCCCACCTAGTTAGAATCATACGCGCATCATATATCAGAGAACCTTATTTCTAATTGGAGGACCTTATTTCTCATCCATCCTCCCTTTCTTGCCCCCTTCCCTCTCCCCCCGCCCCTCCCCCGCTCATCCGGCTGCCACGGCAGCACCATGTAGAATGAGACTGAGTGTGCTCGATCGGTGTTTATATAGCCGCTGTGGTGTTATCATGATCATGACATCAACATCACGAAGTGTTGCCCTTCGTACTCCCTGGTTTTGTGAGCGGTCGGTCCGGACGGACAGAACGACACACACACACACACACCGACAAACCGACACACCAAAGTTCTGGTTTATATAATGAAGTGATACGTACCGTGCTTTATTTCAGGTCGTTATGTGAGTCATTGTGAACATTTTTTTATTCTGGAAATTGTTTCTTAGAATGTTGATAAATCTTTGTTATTGCATGGATTCCTTCTTCTGAAAAGTCCCGAAGACTTGTCCCTGCTGATATTTTGATGAGCTTCAGTGACATCCTTTTACTGGTTCCAGGAAATGCTCTAGTAGTTCACCAGCGCTCAGATTTTAGGTATTACCTAATCCATTCGGAAGCCTTTCCGATTCTGAATAAGAGATGGGATGCGTGGCACATTCTAGGAATAGGTTAGCTGATGCTTTAACTTTTTATTCTTTCACTAGAGTTGTTGTTTACGGTCCAGTGCGGCCTTTTGAATGTTGAACTATACTTCTTGTTCAAGAAATTACATTAATATGGCAATAGATATGCAGCAGTGGCAGAATAAAGCTAAGAGCTACTACAGATTCGAGAATCTGACAGGCGAGCTTCACGATATCATGTTGTTATGGTCGTGTGGAGTTGTTAACTCCTTCGGGGTGGCTATTTTTGGTTGGAGAGAAACTTTTGTCCGATTTTCTATTACCAAGCTCTACAGAACAGAACAGAAGTACAGAAGCACACAACATTGAATATATCCACCATCGTTGTCGACTACTTCTTGCCAACGTTCAGGCAGCTTATAGATGCCATCCCTCCAAAATGCAGGCTGGCGCGAGGCAAAGTACGACGTCGACTCGATTCGACTTCACTGCGAGTCTTAAGCCTTTTTTGGTCTAATTAAGGTGTCGGAGAACAACCAAGACTCGGAAGGAGCGTTTCTGGGGTCCACGGGGGATGAAGAGGTACTGTCTACCCGTGCTGCACCAGCGAATTTGCCTCTATTGTGGTTTGCGGTCTGCCATTATCATGCTAAAAGTAGACTTTTCGAACTTATCTACCTGCTGATCGACGACTCGCTT